TGGGGGCGCCTGGCCAGCGAGGGCGGGCCGAGGTGGGGGGCAGCCAGGCCATCTGCATGCCGCGGGGCTGGGGCGACCTGGGCCCCAGTGCATCCTCCTGCTGAGAACCGTCTCCTCCTTCCTGCTGCCTGGCGCCTGGAATGTCCATTGTGCCTGTCACTTAGCAACAAGCCTCTGACACCCCCACTGTCCCCGCCCTGGGGCTCCCGCATTCCTCAGCCCTCTGAGCCTCTGGCTGCGTCCAGTGGCCGAGCTGCAGCCCACATGTGCCCGGCAGTGACCGGCTCCCGGCAGGGCGCACCAGGGTCCCCCGAGCGCCACACGCTGGCCCTGCCCTGTGGCTGCCCGCAGGCGCCCGCAGTCTCCCTCGGCACCCCCACCCCGTTTAGTCACCTTTCGAGGGCGCGCCGGTCACAGGAGGCGCCGCCTGGGCGGGGCGGGGCGGGCCCCACTGCGGCCACCCGCTCACCTGCCACAGCCCCGATCTGGAGGAGTCCCACCTGGGGGAGCCCGGTGGCCTGGGGAGGCGGTCGGTAGGAGCAGCCAGGCCCCGCGAGGGCGTCCAGGCCGGCGTCTCCACGGGCCGACGCGGCTCCCAGCTTTTTCCTTTTTTTTTTTTCAAACGAGCTTTTTCCGGGAACAGGCCGAAGAGCGCAAGAGCAGAGACTCGCGGCCAAGCCTCTTCCCACCGCCCAGGCCGGCTCCCGGCCCCCCGCGCCCCCGCCCCGGCCCCAGGCTTCAGGCGCCCCGGTTGTCTCGTTTCTGTAAAATAAAACGTTTGTCTCCTTGGAACAAGGACCTGGCACGGCGGCCCCACCCCCACCCGGGCCCCTGCAGGACCCAGAGGAGGAGCGGCCCCCAGCTGTGCGGCCTGCAGGCTCCCCACAAGTGCCTGAGCTGCTGGGGAGCCCACAGCCCGAGGCCAGCACCACGGTGTGTTTGTGGGATTTAAGCAAGAAGAGGAAAGAGCTGTTTGGAGATAGACTGGGCTCCTCTGGCGGACCGTGCAGCCCCTCACCAGCTCCGACTCAGCGGGTCTGGAGTAGGCCTGGGACTTGCCTTTCCCTTGAGGTCCCCCGGGCTCTGGATGGCTTGTCACCCACTGCAGCTTCAAGAAACACCCCTGTCGCCTAAGCTCAGGGGTGCTCTGTCCCCTGGGACAACTGCCTCTTGGGGGTGCAGGGGTTAAAGAAGTGAAGCACAGCAGCAGAAACGCGGGGACATGCGGCTGGGTATTGGCGAGGATGGGTCTCACCTCCACCTGGTGACAGCGTACCCAGGTCACAGCGTGGACGTGGGCCGCCCACCTCGGTTCTCTCAAGATCACTCTGGGGGAAGGTGGGTGAGATATCAGGAAGAGATGGGTGGGAGGTGAGCTGGAGCGCCGGGCCCGCCTCCCAGCTCTGCCTCCGAGCTCCTAGAGACTGAGGCAAAGGGAACAAAGATGAGCCAAACAGTGCTCCTCAGACTTTAACATTCAGATCCCCTGGGGAATGCTTCCAAGGCACAGCTCCCCAGCAGGAGGTCTGGGTGGGGTGAGACTCCCCTCTCCTGGAGATGCAGGGGCTGGTGGCAGCAGGCCCTGTCAGGTGGTGGCAGAGCAGGCCCTGGGGGTCTTCCCTCCCAGGCTCCCTCCCAGGGAGCCCCTCCAGCCCAGGGTCCTGGCAGGAGATGGAGGGCCAATGCCCAGGCTGGGGGAAGGGCACAGGGAGCAGTGGGGCAGGGGCACTGGGGCGAATCCACGACGGGGAGTTTCTCTGGTGACATTGCAACAGAGACAGGGAGTGGGAGGGCTGAACTTCGACTCAGGTGAAAGGTTCCCCAAGATTTCTTCCTTCCTCCAAGTGTGCATTAGTGGGGGACCCCAGGCCCACACGTGTCCCCGGACACGTGACTGGTCTCTGTACCCCTGGGGCGCCGGACCTGCAGCCCACCACCCTGAGCTACTGAAGGTGAGCTGGGAGGGGCCGGGGCTCCCGCCAAGTGCTGGACCTGGCACACATGAAGTTTTTACTCCACCCCCAGCGGCACCTGGGTGCCCACTGTGTCTCCCACACCTGGCTCCAGGTTGGGGCGGCTGGGGGTTGGGGGAGCAGCAGCGTGGGCAGGAGGGATGGAGGCGGAGAGGTCAGGGTCAGCAGAGGGGAAGCGGGCGGAGGCCCCCCAGGCCCCACGCACAGGAGGGGGGATGCCCCCCGCGAGAGAAGCAGGCTCCCCTCCCGACCCACCTCCACCTCCTCTGCTTCTTCTCAATCCGCGCCCGCCCCTCTCGGGAGGGACAGGTGTCGGGAAGAGCTGATTCCGGCTAAAGGCTGAGGCTGTGACCGGAGCGCTCGGCGCCTGTGACCCAGTTCTGAGCTATTCTGGGCCGGGTGGGAGCCGCTATTCCCTCCTGCCGCACCGCGGCTTCCGAGGCAGCCTGACTTTGAAACGCCCTCAGCCTGCGTGGGGAGGCAGCTGCGGGCCCAGGTGCTCGGTCCGGGGGTGGGGAGGGCTGGGGGGGACGGGCAGAGGCCGCCCCTTCCTGCAGCGCAGGCTCCTCCCCCACCCGGACATGACTGTGAGCCCCGGTCCCCTTGTGCCCACAGGTCCCCTTGTGCCCACAGGCTGGGACCCACCAGCCGACAGTGCCCGGGACCACACGCAGCCAGGGGTGCAGAAGCAGAAGCAGGGGCTTGGCCCCCACGGCGCCAGCCTGGCCAAGGGTGGCCGAGAGCAGCCACAGGCCCCAGGGAGGGACCCACTGCTGTCAGGAAGTTCTGGGTTTGGGGGTGCTTGTTATGCAGCCACACAGCAGCGAGAGCTGGCAGAGGCACCTGCCTAAAGCCGTGGGCCTGACCAGCCACCCCCCACGCCTGCCTGCGCCTGGCCAGGCGACATCCTTCAGCGTCATTACACAACTAACCGCACGCGCGGCGACCGTCCCATTGTCCTGACAAACTACTCAAGTGCCCCAGAAGATGCAAAAAACACTTCAAGTATTGCAAAGCGCCAAGAACATGTCTCAGGTGGACCCAGACCTGGCTCCAGAATTCTGGCCCTGGATCTTAAACAGGGAAGGGGGCCTTCCTGGAGGCGGTGGCAGCCCCCGCTCCTGATCACAATCGCAGAGATGATCCGTGAGCTGAGGTGCAGGTGTAGGGACGCTCACGGTCTCACACAGCTCCCCGCCCCCTCGCGCTGGCAGGCTAGAGAGCAGCCCTGCAGGCGGGGCCGGCAGGGCCTGCTCTGGGCCTAGGGGCCGCCATGCGCACCTCTACCCTGGCTTCCACTGCGTTCTCAGGCTCGTGAGGAGGAGTCCCGCGTGGGGCCCAGCTGACGGCCGCAGGGCTCTCTACTGCTCCTTCAATCCCCACAGTCCCTCCGGACACAGCACAACGCCACTGCCTCTGAGGAGCCCTCCATGATTCTTCCTCCCAATAGGACTTCCTCTTGCTTTGGCAAGCGGGGGGGCCCGGGGCAGGGTCTGATAGGTGGGCGTGGCTCTGGCGGAGACAGGCAGCGGCCCGGATGCTGGACAGTCCTGTCCACCTGCTCATGGGCTAGTGGGGGGAGGACGGCGTTTCCCTGGGCACCTCCTACCACCCACCTGTGGGCCCTCAGGCCTGGAGGGTAGGCGGGCGCAGAAAGGAGGTGCAAGTCAGTGAGCGCTGAAGGGGCAGTGGGAGACCCAGACAGCGGGGCGAGGGGAAGGCCGCCACCTGCCCTGCCCTCCTGGGGCAGAGGACCCTCCTCACCCCTCTGCGAGACAAGGTGCAGTCCCCAGGGGTCTGGTGTCTCCAGTTCCACTCACCACCCCCAAACCTTTCGGGGTGGGGTTTATGTTGGCACAGGGCTGGGCCCTGCTCCCAGCTGGAGGACCTCCAGGTGGCGAGGCCCAAGTGGATAACACTGGGGTGTCTGGGAGACACGGCAGAGGGGCGCTGGCCTGGGGCCCCAGAAGCAGGTGTGGCTCCTTGCCCCAGGGTCCGCACAGGCTGCTGGGCACTGTAAGGGGGGGGGGCACGTGCAAGAAATTTCCAAGGAAAAACTGAGGGCTGCGGTGAGTGTGGGGCTGGGCAGGGAGGGAACTTCCAGTGACTCCCTGTCCTGTGACCAGCCCCTGTGCTGGAGGCGGCAGCGGGCGCTGACCTGCCAAGGGGCTCATGCACTGTGGGCCAGCAGGCCCAGCAGGAGAACTGGGTGTCGTCGCTCCCACTCTTCTGCCCACAGCACCACTGGGCTGGGGCCGGGATGGGTACCTCAGCCCTGCCTGGGACACGCAGGGGCAGAGGATGCTGAGCAGGGTGCTCCTGCCAGCAGGGGATGGGGCTGACAGTGGACTTTTCGAGCAGGGCTTTGAAGGATGCACAGGAGTTTGCTGCTGGCTCCAGGCTGAGGCCAAGCTGGTGATCTGGAATGGATGGATGCCAGAGGCCTAGGGGAGCCCCAGGGGCTCACGAGCAGACCCAGGCCTCCTGCCCCTGATGACCCCGCCCCAGCTGCCCCTCCGGGGCTGGGCCTTCCAGCTGCTCCTCCAGTTCATACCGACCCAAGCACAGGCCCAGTAAGTCACGCAAAACTGCAGTTCAAGGCCTGCAAACCCTGCAGAGCTGTGCCACGTGACAACCCCAGGCCTGTCCCTATGGCTAATCCTCCCCCAGGTGAGGACCTTGGCCAGAGGCCATGACAGGTTCTGGAAGGGGAGAGGCAAGAGACTCTGGGGACCCTGGGTAGACACAGGCCTCAGGGGACAGCAGAGGGAGGAGCATGGACAGGAGGGAGCCCTCAGTCCTGTGAGGGAGACTGGCTGGAGCCAGTCTGGAGGCCCCCTAACACACCAGGCACACCCGGCAGTGGTCGCGGGACGACGGGCTGGGGCCGTGGGAGCGTGCAGCAGCCCAGGAGCCCACCGCGAACGCTAGGCTGAGGGCCAGGCGGACACAGCAAGGGCTGGGCTCCGGGACAGGACACAGACTCTCTCCCCTCCCTCCTCGCCCTCCCCAGGGACAAACGGCCCTTTCTGTGGCCAGTGGGGGTGGCCACACACTCGCTCCTTTGTCCACTGTGTCCCGGCCGTTGTCCTGGTGTCCGGACCCCGCGGCGCCTGCGCTGGGACAGGAAGAGGCAGGAGCGGGGCCAGGAGGCTGTGTGTGGAGCTGTCAGCTCGGACACTGCGCAGCAGTGGGCCTCCAGGGCACGGGGACCAGTTAGTGCGTGGGGGCAACAGCATTTATTTCTGTCCAGATGGCGGGAGCTCAGCCTGGCACCCCGGGGACACCCCTCAAGAGGCGACAGCAAAGGCAGTGTCCCTGGGGACCTCTAGGGCGCAAGCCACCCACAGGCCCAGGGCTCCCTGGAGGGGGATCCCCAGGCTGGGACGGGCCTGGCAGGGCCCCGAGAGCTCCCCTCAGTAAGGATGTGTGTGCTGCCCAGGGGCAGAAGGGGGGCAGGGGGCTGAGGCTGCGGTCCCTCCAGGAGGCGGGCGCGCGGGGACACCCCCATGTGGCATCGGCAGTGCCCCGGCTGTGTCTTTGCTCCGGGCTCCCGGGAGGGGGCAACCTGGACGCACCCCTGGCCAGGGTGAAGAGCCTGCGCGGTGGCGACGCCTCAGGCTGCAGCAGCAGCGCCGGGCACGGCGGTCACGGGTGGGCAGGCCTCGCTGCCCAGAGGGCCGGCCTGCAGAGGACACGCTCCACGGCCTCTCCTTGTGCCCGGGAGGCCCCAGCCCAGCCCTCCTATCCGCAGCCGGCCCACGGGCAGGCGTTGGCGGCGTCCAAGGCGCGTCCGGCGGCGGAGCCTCCAGGCCCAGTGCTCCGGCGGTGCGGCTAGTCCGGGGTCTTGGTGGCAAAGGTCAGGTAGCCGGTGTGGCCCACAGCCTCCTTCATGGGGGTGCCGCTGCGGAAGGGGCCGGCGTCGGGGCAGGGGCCGGCGCCCAGGTCGGGCAGGGGCAGGCTGACGGTGCGCACGTGGTAGAGCTGGGGCAGCACCTCCAGCGTGCTGAGCTCCGAGAAGCCGCGCGCCGCCAGCGCCTGGCACGTGCGCTGCACCTGCTCGATGCAGGGCGAGAAGGAGCAGAGGCGCCCACCTGAGGGTGGCAGGGCGGGCCTGGGGTCAGGGCAGCGTGGGCCAGGGCTGGGCCTCCCCCGGCCGGCCGCGCCCTCGGGCAGAGAGCGGGGGTCTGGGAGGAGCCAACTCCCCCCCACCTTTCTCAGGCCGGCCCGAGCCCACTCCCCCGGCCTCCCGGGCCCCACACTTCTGCGCCCCGTGGCAGGAGGCAGCCGAGGGTCCGCAGCCAGGTGGGGCCAGGCAGAGCGGCCGGCAGCTGCCCGACTCCAGCTCAGAACAGCCCGAGCGCGCAACTCGGGGGCGGGAAGGGCCCACAGGCGGCGGGGGCGCTGCCGTCACAGGAAATTAGAGGCTGTCGCTGCTCCCGGGAACAGGGGCGCCCACTCTGAGGAGCGCGGAGCTGACGGGCGGGGGTGGGAGCGACAGTCCCTTCCGGGCCCTCCCAGAAGGGGGGCAGCCTGGCCCCTGGCTAGGAGGGGCAGGGAAGCAGGGTGGGGTGGCCAGGCCTGGGCCTCCCTGGACCTGGGAAGGAGACACCCCTGCCGCGGGGCGCAGCCCAGAGGCTAATGCCGGCGGGCAGGGGCGCCGGTGGCCGCCGCGGCAGAGCACAGGGTCTGTTGAACCGGGGGCCACCGGCTCACGCGCTGCCAGGCCAGAGCGAAAGCGGGCTGGCCAAGAAGTGGGGAGCCTGCGGACCCGGAGCAGCAGGCCAGGCCAGAGGCGCGGGGGAGGGGCGGGAGGCCAGGCGCTCCTGGGCCAGCCTCGAGGCACCAGGAGGGAGGTCACCAGGCTGCTCTGCCTCCGTGGGACTAGGGGCTGGGCCTGCTGGTGTCCCCCGAGCAGGGAGGGCCCGCAAGTGTCCAGGGGCAAAGCAGGAGGGGCTAGAAGTGGGGGGAAGCCAGCCTCCCCTCCACCTGGTCACAGGCCAGCTGGGCAGAGACCAAGGCTCGAAGGAGCCCAAGCCAGAGAGCTGGGCAGGAGCCCTCTGGGCCCCCCGGTCGCTGCCCTGCTGCTGGAGCGGGCCGGCATCTGTCCCCGGGCAGCCCTTCCCCGGGCACCTTCCAGCGGGGGGGTGGGGAGGGGTGGGGGGTGCTGCTTGCGCTGAGCCCGCTCCTTCTCCAGAAAAGGGAAAAACCCAGTGCCTCCCTGGCTGGGAGCCAACCTCCCGCCTCCACACCGCGTCTTCCCTAAAAGGGGCTGGTGGGGCTGCCACATTCCCCAGGGGCCTGAGCCATCTCCCCCTCTGGGGTGGGGGCGGGGAGCCGGCAGGGCGGGCCAAGGAGCAGGGGCTCTGGCCAGGCCTGACTCCTCTCCTAGCTTTCCCGGCCCCCAAACCAGGCGCCCCCTCCGTGCCCCCCACTCCTGCTCCCGCCGCCTGAGCCGCCCCTCCTCAGGCTGCCGGCCCTGGCCAGGCCATTGCCGGCAGCTGCCCTTCCTGCCCCCGCTGGGCTTCAGACCCCCCGAGCCCCACACACCTTCCACCTTGAGGGCGTCCCAGGCGTGGCCCACGGCCTCCCACGGCGACGGGATGTCCAGGAAGACGGCGTCCGCCACATGGGTCACACCAAAGCCACTGCGACACACGTCCTGGTTCCGCACGGTCACCCAGCGGCCCAGGCGGTGCTCCTGGAACTCCTCCCTGGCCCTCTCAGCCCGCTGCTGGTGGAACTCCACCGTGTGCAGGTGGCCGGTCGGTGCAATGGTGCGGATGATGGCGTGGGACACAGAGCCGCTGCCCGTGCCTGTGGGGGCAGGACCGCTGTCAGGCGGGACCGCGCCCCAGAGGGATCCGCAGAGGGGCCAGGAGCAAAGCCGGGCTGCACAGGCCACAGACCTGGGGAGCTGCCACCCTCCTTCCGCGTGCCAGGCCCAAGCTCCTGCACCCCGGCGTTGCACTCCCTGCACCCCAGGCTGCGCCCACCACATACCCACACAGGGCGCGGCCCTGCTCTTGCTGTGCTTCGCCTCCTGTGACCTGACACAGGGACCAACTTGCCACAACTCGCTCCTCCCTCGCCCCACGTCGTCTCTGGATCCTTTCAGCTGCGTGCAGCCCACCCCTCCTCAGCCCCCACCGGGCTGCCCTCCCGCAGGGCCCGGCCTGGAATGGACATCGCCCCATCCAATCTACCACTAGGGCCAGGTTCCCACCCCCCACCCCACCCCAGTCTTCCCGACCTCGTTCCCCGCTTCCGCTCCCTCTCTGGCACGAGCTTGGCCTCGGGACCTTTGTACAGCTCTCCCTTGATAGACTGCTCTCCCGGGCTCCTTCTGATCATTTACAACTCAGTGTCCCCTCCTAGGAAAGGTCCCCTGGCTGTGCCCACTGGAGAAGGCACCTTTGAGAACCCTTCACACCAGGCCCTGGTTCAGGTGCCTCCCAGCAACCAGAGGCCCTGGGCTAGTGACGCTGACCAACTGTGCCCCACAAAGCAGAAACCAGGCCTGGTTTAGGGCTGACCCACGGCTCCGACAGGGGAATTTGGCATCAGTGGGGTTCAGGGCGTGCCCACTGGTCATGTTCCTTTCACTGGGCGGAGCAAGGCCCTAGGGGGCTGAGGCACAGGTTACAGGTGCAGGGGAACAGGAGGCTGGAGCTGGTTCCAAGGCCCACTACCAGCCCCATAGGGGCTGTACTCTGCCCAGTCCCACTGCTCTCTGACCTGCAGTCCCTGTAGTGGGCACGTGAGTGTGCAAGGACTGAGCTGGCTGGCCTCCAGCTCCATGACCCAAGCCCAGTCCCCAGCCTGAACGGCCAGGTGCTCACGGTCATCGACGGTGGCTGAGGACCCGGTGGGGCTGAGCACCTCACGGCCTCTGTCCAGGGCAGGGCTGAGCCTTGGCCTAGGACTCCCGCGGGTCACAGTCAGCAGCTGCTGGGGCAGGCAGCCTCCACCCTTTCTCTGCAACAGGGCTAGGAATTGGCGGTCAGCACCTTGGTCAGCGCCAGGCTGGGGGAGACCCTCAGTGGCTCACTACCTAGGGGTGGTGATGGTCCAGCACCATCACTCTTGCTGGGGGACAGCTTCCTAGCTTCTGCCCTGTTCCCTGTGGTCAGCCCCCCTCAAAAACTCTGCTAAAGCAAGGAGAGTGGCGGAGTCTGTCTCCAGGAAGGGGCCGCAGGCTGTCCGGGCCTTGGGTCTGGCCTCCACCTTCATGCCAGTTTCTCGGAACTCAGGGCGCCAGAGGACTCACCAGACTCACAGACCACAGAGCCGGGCCGGAGCTCCAGCATCATGGTGAGCAGGGCAATGTCGGTGGAGTAGAGGATCTGGGTGCGGTGCGGCAGGTTCAGCGTCCAGAGCTCCGGCGTGGGGTGCAGAACATACACCCAGCCGCCCCGGCCACAGGTCACCTTGGAACCAAAGGGGCGGCCGATGAGGTCCACCGAGTGCCGCAGGACGCCGTGCCGCGTCTGGGTCTGCGCCCCGCGCTGCACGCGCACGGCCACCATTGCGCCGTGGCCCAGGGACAGGATGGCCGTGTCACCCTCTTTGATCAGCTCCTCGTAGCCCACGAAGCTCATGGTGCTGCGCTGGCGGGCGCCGGGACCTGGGAGGAAGTGCGGGGCAAGAGCACGTAAGGCCAGGGAGGCGGGCAGGGCCCCTGGGTCCCGGGGGGCCCGACACGCAGCCGGCAGCGCTGCACCGGGCCCGCCCTTTGGAGCCCGCAGCCCACATCACCGACGCAGGGCCTGCGGCCTGGCGGGGGCGGGGGCGGCCGTCCGAGGAGGGCAGGCCCTGGCCCCTCACACCCTTCTCCGGCCGGACGCCCCGCTCCAGCTGCCTGAGGGGAGCAGGCGCGGTCGCGAGGCCGCCCCAGGCCGGGCCTCTCGCCCCGCGCGGGCTGACCGGGCGGGGGCGGCGGGCGTGGGGGCTGGGAGGCCTGAGCGCGCGGCCGGGGCGACCTCCCCCACGGAGCCTCACCGCGCCCCGCGCCCCCGGCTCCGCGCTCCCGCACGTGGCTGACGCGGCGCTCGCGCTTCCGGCTCGGGCGCCCGTCGATGACGTCACGGCCCGCGCCGCCCGCCGCCGCCCCCGCCCGCGAGCGCCCGCGGCCCCGCGACGGCCCTGCCTGGGCCCGGGCCGGGGGGCCGGGGGGCCGGGGGGCCGGGGGACCGGGGGGCGGGGGGGCGGCGGACGCGGGGCGGCGGGTGCCCGGGCCGGCCGGCCGCAGGCGCCGGGGGCGCGTCGGGAAGGCTCTGCGGGCGCGGCCTCGGCGGGGCCCCGCCTCCCCGCGTCCAGGGGTTCGGCCCGGCCCGGCGCGGTGTGGGCGGGAGCGCGGCCGCGGGGTCCCGGCCCCCCCCCGGAGCGCGGGGCAGCGCCCGCTGCCGCCCACCGGCCCCGTGAGCCCTGCGCCCGGGCCCACCGCCCCCGCCCGGCCGGCCTTGCCCGGGGCCGGCAGCAGGCCGAGGCCGCCCCCAGGCCCGGGTTGCTCAGGCTCGGCCGCCAGGCAGTGGCCAGGCCAGGCACGGCCCTCCCGGCCCTCCCGCCGCTCGACATCCCGCAGCCCGGCCGGCCGCCGGCTGGGACTCCCGCACTTGGTGACTCCGCGGTGGTTTCCTGCGGTCCCGACTTCCCACTTGCGCCGTCTGGGCCCGACTCGCTCCTCCAGTGTCCCCCGCTTCAGGCAGCCTTCCCAGAGCTGCCCCTCTGCGCCCTCTGAGCTGGCCCCAGCCCTCAGCTGGAGCCTCACGCCCCCACCCGCCTCCCCCAGCCCCAGTGATTGCCCTGGCCCAAGGCAGAGTGTGATGGTGGAGCCCCCCTAACCAGAGCCATGGCAGTAAGGCCCCGCGGGCCGTGAGGGAGGGACCACTTTCCAGGCGGGGAAACAGACTCAGGTTAAGTCATTTGTCTAAGGTCATGCAGCCAGCGTGGCCAGAGTGGGGCTGGGATTTAAACCAGAGAACCTGGCTCCAGAGAACCCACGCGGGGTTAAGGTTAAGGGAACACGGCCTCCCTGGTGGCACAGGGGTTAAGACAGCGTTATCACGCTATCTCCGGGCCTCCCTGGTGGCGCAAGGGGTTGGGCACCGCACTGTGAGGTAATCCGCAGCCTCTGCAGCACGAGTTTGAACCGGGCCGGCCAGGGAGGGTCCCAATGGCGCAGCAGCCCTCTCCTGTCTCGCCCGCTGGTCCCCTCAGCAGTGTCTTCAATCCGTCTGCCTGTTCTGTTCCCAGCTCTGTCTCGGGTGAATCCTCTCACTCCCTGCAGCCTGTACCCCAGCTCTTGTATGCATAAATAAATAAATCTTTAAAAAAAAAATAAAGGGAACACGTAGGAAGGAGAAATGATCAGGTGACGAGGTCCCCTCCTGACCAGCCCAGCCACCTGCCCCACTGTGCTCAGCGAACCAAGGGCAGCCCCTGCCCCTCTTCTGACCCAACCAGCTTCCCCTTCCGGTCATGCAGAGCTCGGGACCAGGGCACCAGGAGGAGGCCATGCCTGCCTGCCCTGGTGGCACCCTTATGGGCTCTGAGGACAGGTCTGGTTCCCTGCCTAGAGCCTGGCCCTGACCCCCACCTGGCCCCCTCTGCCTGCTCAGCCTGGAGTCTGTCAGCGCTGCGCGGGGCCCACCTGGCTAAGCAGGCCCAGGTCTGTAATGAAAGGCCAGGATGGGACTGTAGGCGCCCCACCCTCCTCCAGGGCCAGGTGCTCCCCACCCTCCTGTGGGGCTGGGTGCTCCCCACCCTCCTTCGAGGCTGGTGGTTAATGTGTAGCCAGGTATGATTTCTGAGGAACTTGGACCACAGGCTGACTGGGTGATGTCACCGCCTTTCACCTGACGCCGCCAAACCGGCTCCTGTGGGCCTTGGGGAACATGGAGCACCCACGGAGAGGGCTGGTCTGCGGGGGGCGCTGTGCTTTTGAAGAGAGGCTGGCACCCTTCAGGCCCCTCCTGATTTCCCCTGCTCTGGGACCACCCAGCCCCCCCAACAGCACAGGCCTGCGCCCGTCACTGCTCTGACCACCTGGGGCTGTTTGAGGCCAGGCCGGGCTCCACCTGGGGGCTCCCAGGACAGGCCTGCAGTCATGTGAGCACAGGGCCCCACGCTCCTGGGTTGTGGGGTTGCCCTGCCTCTCAACTGGCACCTCTGTTGCCCACCTTCTGCTCTTCCCTCTGCTTTTGTGCAAGGGAGGGACAAAAGACCCATCTTGGGAGGCTGAGCCTTCCTGGCCAGACCCTGAGCAGGACAGCCTGGCTTCCTGATGCCCCCTCCGGTCGGGACCGGGCTGTGAAGGGACAGGGACACCTGTCCTTCCCTCCTTGCACCCCTGAGCTGGTCAGGCCCTGGGTGGCTAGAGGGCGGGGGAGGGGAGGCCGCGGGAGCAGCTCTGTAGGCTGAAGACAAAGAGGAAGCTCTGGGTGCAACCCCCACCCCGCCGGGTCTGAGAGCTCTGCGAGGCCAGCAGTTTCCAGAAACAGAAACTTGAGCCGGTGGGGGGAGGCGGGGAGGGCAGCTGCAGATACTTCTAAAATCCGGGGAAGGGGCTTTGGGGGCGGGGGTGCAGGAACCCTGGGCTTAAGGGACACCTGCTGTCTGGCAGCCCAGGCCACTTGCCTTTTCACATATTTGCCTCATACTTGGGCTCGTTTTATTGGTCTAAAAAACCCCAACAGGTCAAAGCACGCCCAGGCGGGCAAGGGAAGAGGCAGGAGCCCCTCTTCGGTGCCCGCGGGGTAGCCAGGCCAGCCCGCCCCCCCCCCCCCCCCCCCCCCCCCCCCCCCCGTGCTCACAAGGCTGCTGACTTTCTCTCCTCTGCTCTTGTTCCAGGGCCCTCTCCTAAGGGACGCCCGCCCGGGAGCGCCCACCTCCCCATCTCCTGGCCCCATCCCCCCCAGTGCTGGCTCTCGCCGCGAGCTCCCCGCGCAGTCACGGGAGGGGTTGTGTTGCACGCGCACTTCCCGGTCCATGCATGAAAACACGCAGACAGGCGCGAGGGGCCAGAGCGTTCTCAGCTGCATACTATGCCGCCTGGGGCCGGCCTGCAGGGCCTCCCCCCTCCGGCCCGGCACGGGCGCGGCGTTGGGGAGTTGGACAGCCAGGCGTGCCCTCAGGTCTCGGGCAGAGAGAGACCAACGGCCTGTGCTGCCTGAGGCTCCTGGAGGTGGGGCTGCGGGTCGCCGAGCATCCCCGTTTTTAATAAACGCTGCGGGGCTGCTCTCCAGAGACGATGTAGCAACCCATGGTCGCCGGCAGCGTGTGAACGCCTGTCTCCCCACATTCCAGCCCGCAGCCGGCGCTGGCCCGCGTCGGTCTTTCATGTTTTGCCAGCCGGGGTGTGCTGGGGGTGGGGGATGAGACAGTTGCTGTCCTTTCGCTTGCGGAACCCCGTTTTTAGTTTCTTTTTTTTTACTTTCACATATGCTTTTTGTTTGTTATGTTTCCTCCCATGGTTCCTGGGAGTCTCTGGGGCTTGCCTTTGGGGGCGGGGTGGGGAGACAAACCTGTCCCCCAAGAGAGGGTCAGGGCGGGCGCCCTGGGCTGTGCTCTCGCACCTACCAGGAGGGGCTGGACCCAGGGTCTCCCGCTCAGACAGACCAGAGCCCGGGGGGCTGGCCAAGGTCAGGGCACCCGGTCGCCGGAGGGAGGGCGGCAGCCAGACTGCGCCTCGCGCTCGCTCTGCACCAAGATCGCCGGGAGATGCCTGCGGGCACCTTGAGGAAGGTCGGCGGCTGCGGGCCAGCGCCGACCCGGCGGGCTTGGGGGGGCAGAGTCTGCTGCGGAAGCGCTGGGGCCTCTCGCCAGGCCCCGGGGCCGCGGCTACCGCGGGGGCTGGCGGGACAAGGGAAGGAAAGGATGGGGCGCAGGCGAGCCCCAGCGTCCTCAAGGCGGGGCGTCTCACGGGCCTCAGTTTCCCGCCGGAGGCTGAGTGTGTGTGTGTGCGCGCGCGCGCGCGCGCGCGCGCGCAAACCCCAGGGGGTCCAAGGGCCCGAGGGTCCAGCTTCGGTGTCCAGGTGGGCTGCTCGGGGTCCCGGCCGGGGCACAGCGGGGATGGGAGGCCCGGGGGGGCCTCGGGGGCTGCGGGCGGAGGACAAAGCGGCGGCACCGCCCCGCGGCGCGGGCCAATGGAATGAATGGGCTATAAATAGCGGCCAATGGGCGACCCGCGTGGCGTCCCTTAAGAGCCGCGGCCAAGCCCAGCGGCTGCTGTTCTCCTGCGCGGCTCCCGCACTTGCCCAGGACCGAGCGCCCCCGCCCCGCCGGACGCCCGGTGAGTGGGCCCGAGGGCCGGGGCGGGGGGCGCGCGGCGGCGGGGGGCGCGCGGGGCCGGACGCCCGGGGCGCGCGCCGGCGGGCGGGGGTCCCGGCCGGGCCGGCGCGTCCCGGCGCGCGCCGCGGGGCCCGCTGACCTTGGCCCGTCCCGGAGCCGCCCGGGCCGCGGACCCCGGGGGTGGCGGCCCCGGCCCGGGCCGCCCGCTGACCCCGCGCCCCCGCAGCCGCGGCCGCCGCCATGCCCTTCTCCAGCAGCCACAACGCGGCGAAGCTGCGCTTCCCGGCCGAGGACGAGTTCCCCGACCTGCGCGGCCACAACAACCACATGGCCAAGGTGCTGACCCCCGAGCTGTACGCGGAGCTGCGCGCCCGGAGCACGCCGAGCGGCTTCACGCTGGACGACGTCATCCAGACCGGCGTGGACAACCCGGGTACGCGCGCCCGCCCGCCCCGCCCGGCCCGCGCGCGCCCGGCCCGCGCTGACGTCACCCGCGCCCCCCGCAGGCCACCCCTACATCATGACCGTGGGCTGCGTGGCGGGCGACGAGGAGTCGTACGACGTGTTCAAGGAGCTCTTCGACCCCATCATCGAGGACCGGCACGGCGGCTACAAGCCGGGCGACGAGCACAAGACCGACCTGAACCCCGACAACCTGCAGGTGCGGGCGGGGCGGGGCGCGGCGCGGGGCGGGCGGGGCGGGCGGGGGCTCCGGCGCTCACCCCTCGGCTCCCAGGGCGGCGACGACCTGGACCCCAGCTACGTGCTGAGCTCGCGGGTGCGCACGGGCCGCAGCATCCGCGGCTTCTGCCTCCCCCCGCACTGCAGCCGCGGGGAGCGCCGCGCCGTCGAGAAGCTCGCGGTGGAAGGTAGGGTCCGCGCCCCGCCGTCCCCCGGCCCCCCGGCCGCGGCGCCGGCCTCGCGCACGCCGGTCGGGTTCCCGGGGGGCCGCGCGGGCCCAGCCGGCGGCGGGGCGGGGGGCGGGGGGCCCGGGCGCGGCGCCCCCTGACGCGCCCTCCGCAGCCCTGTCCAGCCTGGACGGCGACCTGGCGGGCAGGTACTACGCGCTCAAGAGCATGACCGAGGCGGAGCAGCAGCAGCTCATCGACGACCACTTCCTCTTCGACAAGCCCGTGTCGCCGCTGCTCCTGGCCTCGGGCATGGCCCGCGACTGGCCCGACGCCCGCGGCATCTGGTGCGTGTCCCCGCGGGCCCCCCCCGCACCCCGCCCGCGCACCCCGCCCGCTGCGGGGAGAGGCGGGGGCAGGGCTGGCGCCGCCCGGGCCTCCGGGTGACCTTGACCGCCAGGTGCGGCCGGCGGCCCCTGCCTGTCGGGGTCCCGGGGTGGGGACAGGTCGCGCTGGCGCCCCGCGCGCACCCCTCTGGGGAGCTGGCGCTTGTTTTCCCTCCTTTCTCGCCTCCGCCCCCGCCCGCGGGACGCTGCCAGGTGCGGTGACGCAGGCGCTTCCTGGGGGGGCGGGGGTGCTCGCGGGCTCCTGCCCCAGGGGGGGCAGATGCGGCTGGAGCGCCCAGAGTCTGCGCTTCCCGAGGAGGGCCCGGCCCGCCCTGCTCGGCGCACGGGGCTGCCCGGCCGGGGGCGCGCGGGCCTGTCCCTTTGGACCTTCCTGCGGTTTCTGGGTCTCCCTGCCAGCCCCCGAGGGCGCCCGGGGCCGGGGCGGGGTGGCTCTGGGCGGGGCCCCTGCACCGGCTGTGCCTGCGCAGCGCAGGGGGGAGCCCTGACCGTGCGCCCCCAGGCACAATGACCTCAAGACCTTCCTGGTGTGGATCAACGAGGAGGACCACCTGCGCGTCATCTCCATGCAGAAGGGGGGCAACATGAAGGAGGTGTTCACCCGCTTCTGCAACGGCCTCACCCAGGTCAGGCGGGGCGCGGGCCGCCCGGGGGGTCCCGGGCTCGCGACCCCAGGGCCCCTCCCAGGGCTCCGGCCCCCCTTCTCCCGCGGCCCGGCCAGGGGTGTCTCGGGCCCGCCCCTCACGCCTTATCCGCCCCCAGATTGAAACGCTCTTCAAGTCCAAGAACTACGAGTTCATGTGGAGCCCCCACCTGGGCTACATCCTCACCTGCCCCTCCAACCTGGGCACCGGGCTGCGCGCGGGCGTGCACATCAAGCTGCCGCACCTGGGCCAGCACGAGAAGTTCCCCGAGGTGCTCAAGCGGCTGCGGCTGCAGAAGCGCGGCACAGGTGCGCGGCCCCGGCGCCCCGGCCCCCCGCCCCCCGGCCCGCCCCCCCCCCCCGCCCCGCCCGCGCTGACCCCGCTCTCCGCAGGGGGCGTGGACACGGCGGCCGTGGGCGGGGTCTTCGACGTCTCCAACGCCGACCGCCTGGGCTTCTCGGAGGTGGAGCTGGTGCAGCTGGTGGTGGACGGCGTGAAGCTGCTCATCGAGATGGAGCAGCGGCTGGAGCAGGGCCAGGCCATCGACGACCTGGTGCCGGCCCAGAAGTGAGGCCGCCGCCCGCCGCCCGCCGCCCGCCGCCGCGCTCCTAACTTATTGCCGCGGGAGCCCGCCGCGCCCCCGGAGCGCGCCCGCGCCCTCGCCCTCGCCGCGCCCGCCGCCCTGTAGAGTTTATTTTTGTGATGGCGCCGATGTCGCCGATGCGGAAATAAAGCGGGGTTTCGGCCTGCCGGTGTGAGCGCCCCTCCGCGCGCCCCCTGCCCTTCGGGGTCGCGCCCCTCGGGCTGGGCGGCCCCGGGGTGGCCCGCGCGGCCCGGGGCGGGCGGCGGGCGGCGCGCGGCGAGGGGCAGGCTGGCCGGGGCGCGGGCGCCCCCTGCGGAGCGAGGTGTGCGCGGACAGGCAGGTCCCCAGAGCCCCCCCTTTCCCGCTCGGCTGCCCCGCAGTCCCGCCCCGGGCAGCAGCGCCCGCTCCCCGGCCGCGCGGGCCCCGCCGGCTTGGGCCTTTCTCCAGCCGCCGCCCCCCCACTACACCCCACACTTCCCTGGGGGGTCCCCTGGAGGGCCAGGGCAGGGAGGGGTGCGGCGAGCCTGCGGGCGGGGCCTCCTCGCGCGCCGTCCTCTGCGCTGCCCCCTGCTGGCCGGGTCCTCCCCGGGTGGCCCCCGCAGGGCCGGTGTCCCGCATCCCGGCGCGCGGGCCCACCCGGTAAAGACTAGAGCGCGCGACCCCCAGACAAGCAAGTCGGGGGTCGGCCGCGGGGCAGGAGCTGGCAGAAGGCCGTCCTGGCGCCGCCCCTTCAGGGGCACGTAGAGCAGGTGGGGGGGGAGGAGTGGGGGGGGGAGGAGTGGGGGGGGCTTCCAGGGGGAAGGCGGTGCCCTGAGGCAGGGCCAGGTGAAGGGCCCAGCAAGGGCTCAGGCTCCTGGTGCAGGGCTGGTGGGGTGGGGTCTGCGCCCATCCTTTGGGTCCCGGGCTGGCACTCAAGCCCCCACCCTGACTGCCCCGTCTGGGGGCCGGCCAGGCCCGGGCTTACCCTTTGCTATAAAGGGCCGCCCTTCCCTCAGCTTTGGGGTCCACGCGCCGAAGGTGGGGCAGGGTGAGGCCTCGCCCAGCAGGCGCCCCCCAGTAGCCAAAGCCACCCAGGCTCCCTGTCCGCCAAGGGGGTCAGCCCTGTGGGCCCAGCAATGGGGATGGGGTGGGGGGCTCAGCCTGTCCCCCACATCCACATGCTGGCTCAGGCCCCTCACCACTGCTTGGGCAGGGTCTGAAGACAGTGGGGAAGGCCTAGGCCCCTGACCCAAGGCGCACAGGTACTGGGAGGCCTGGTCAGGCAGACACCCCCTCCCCGCAGAGGGAGAAGGGCCCTCCTGGAGGCTGTCAGCACACCCAGGAGGGTGCACAGCGGCCGGCGCCCCTGGGGAAGGGGTCATGCAAGTGCATTTCCCTGGCCGGCCAGTGGGAAGAAGCCCCTGCAGCAGGCAGCATTCGCTCCGGGACAAGGGAGGGTTTGCCATGCACCCCCTTCTGTGGACTCACCAGCCCCTCACCTGCCCCTCTCCCCTGGACTTGGGTCCTGTAAACGGGTCAGTTTAATTTCCGGTGAAATCCCATTCAAACGTGGGCTGGCTAAGCACGCAGCCTCGAGCACCACCAGGTGGGGGTCCCCCAGCAGCCACGGACACGGCCCGTGGAACCTGGCCACTGGCGGCCGGAAGCACCGCAGGGCCCAGGCTACGGCATCACTGGCGTGGGGGGCGGCTCTGGCCGCAGGTGCCACCCGCCGAGCTGCAGCCCCGCCTCCAGCCTCCAGTGCCGGCGGGGTGCCCCGTCCCCGCCCCCCGCGACAATGAGGAATGACCTGGACGTGGTCAACTGTCCCCGTCCCCTTGGGAACCGCTGCCGCGGGAACGAGACATTCGGGACGAGGGGAGCGCTGGGCGGTGGGCCCCGGGCAGGGCTGCCTCCACACCGGACGCCTCCCCGGTGCAGCCCCAGAGGCCGCCTGCGCGCGGGCACAGCGAGGCGACAGCCTTGAGGAGTCAGGTGCGAAGGCAGGTTCGGGAACAGCGCGAGCCGCTCCACCCTGGGGTCCTCTGCTGCGGGCTGACGTAAGTGGGCCGCGCTCTCCCGACGGCGCCCAAAGGACGCCCCTGTCACCGTCATGGGAGGCCAGGCCGAGGGGAGAGGGCTGACCAGGGCCCGAGGCCAGGGTTCTGCTCCCTGCTCTTCGGCTTCCGGAACATTCTAGGCCTTCCCTGAGCGGGACCTGCTTCTCTGAGCAGGAGCAGAAAAGGCAGCCACGGCCTGAAAATTCCCTGATTCTGTGTTGCTATTTCCAGCCCCCGGGAGCCGACACTAAGCCTCCGACAGCACCCGGGGCCCGCTGTGCTCCCCTGGACTCGGGGCATCTCCCGCAGGTAACAGGAAACCATGCTGGGTGCCGGGCGGCAGCCCCCGACCCAGGTTTTCAGGGGTGAGGGGCGGAGGACAGGGGTCCTCACCAGCTGGCTGGCACATGCCCGGCGCCCCTGCCTGAAGGACAGAGATGCGAAGGTGCCCTGCTTTGTTCCAGAAGGCCTCGCTTTGGCCCTCTTCTCAGAGTTGGGCTCAGAGTTGGGGGCTCAGCAGATTCTGAGGCTTCACTTAAATAACGAAGCTGGGTAGAGGCTCCTGCCAACCTCCCGAACTTCCGAGATCCCGGGCGCTGGGGCTGGTATGTGGAAGCCCCTCCCCTTCTGCTGGGCTGACCAGGCGGGCCGGGCCTGGCACGCGGCCACTGGCGTGAGGGCCACATCTGCAGGACAGCGGCAGAGCTGCGGTGGGGGAGGACGCCCCAGGGAACCCTTTGACGTGAGGCCACGGGGGCCCGCCCTAGCGGGGGACTCCCCAGCCGCCCAGGGTGCGCTGTTCTGCCGGGCGAGGTGCGGCCCGAGGAGAGCCCGTGGGGAATTCAGCCAGGACAGAGGCCAATATGCGGAGACCAGGGCTGGCGGCTGTGGTGCCGCCAGCACCTCCAGGACCTCCAGTCTCAGGGTGTCGTGTGCTTCCACCCATGCCCAATCTCCAGGGGAGCCCTGGTGCTGCGTCCTCTGGCCTCACCTTAGGCAGGGCTCAAGACCTTGCTTCCCCCCTTCTGTCCCTTTTGTCACGTTCCCTGTCACACCTGTCACACAGCTGTTCCCCTGTGGCCATCTCCAGACGGAGGGCCAGGCCTGGGTGCTTCCACAGCTCAAAGTGGACGGCTCCCACTCGGGGTGCAGGTGCTCTGGATTAACACAAGCCAGGTACCCCAGAAACATGCACCACAGAAAAAAGCTCCCATCGAATCTTCACAAGCGTGGGGAGCTCTAGCTCTGTCCACTCCTGATCCAGCAAGCACCCTGCACATTAGAACAGCCCCTCAGTGCGCTGCGCCGTCCCAAACAGCTTCTGAGCTGGGGCTCAGAAGCACCCCGGCACCGGCCCAGAGGGGCTGCGTGCTGCTCTCCCCTGCTGTCTGGGCTCCTTAAATGGATGAGGTGCTGGGAGATGCAGCCCAGCAAGCCGGGCCTGCACATTCCCAGCTTGGGGAGGTCGGACCAGGTCGCTCTGGGAGGCGCCTCACCCACCAGCACAGGCTGCCCAGCCCCGAGGCTTGTCCAGAGTCGGGGGTGTAGACACAGCCCCGGGCAGCAGGTAAAGCCAGATGCAGGTCCCCGACCTGAGGTGCATCCAGAACAGGGCGGCGCGCTCAGATCACCCTGCGCCGAAGGACTCCAGGTGCCCGGAGAGACGCAGCTCCCCACTGCCTGCTGTGGAGAGCTCCATGCAAACAGGCCCACCCCACCCCACAGGCAGTGCCCTTCAGGGCAGCCAGCAGACCAGACTCCCCCACTTCCTCTTTGGTCCCCAGCAGCAGGGTCAGCAGCCTGCCAAGGTCACTCTCCAAGGAAGTGGTGACCGAGTCCTTCTGGAACAGAGGTGCATTGTGTGAGATACGCTTCGTTGAGCGCCAAGACAGCCAGTGGGGAGCCCCGCCCCAGGAGGACCGGCACCCTGCTTTGCATGTGCTGCTCCTTCGATGAGCACACCTGGCAAGCTCCAGGTGGACCTGGCCCCCACCCTGACCGGCCCACGGTCCCACAGACCACGCAGCACTGGCCGCCCCAGCTGCTCCAAGCCCCTTACATGCGCGCAGATGAACGAGCACGACCACGATGAAGCCTTCAGGCCTCACCTTGAGACCAGAAAGGCTCTGGGGCAAGAAGCAAAGGAGGGGACATGCAGTCCATTTTCTAACACTCGGCCCAGACTGGTTAGAGCCCCTCAGAGCAGGAGACCCCATTCGGGTGGTGCAGCTGCTGATCTGCCTCAGGCGGTTACAGAGCCAGCCTGGGGAGACCCAGCTCCTGCGGCTTCTGCTGCGTCTGCTGGGAGTCAGAGACGGTGAGATGGGCTGGGCTCTGGCTAACACTTGTACCCCCTCGCCGGCAGGCAGACCCCCACTAGCTCAAAGGCTCCACAGAAGAGGAACCCAAGAGGCTCAACCCCAGGACCCGGGCTGCTGGGTTAAGAGCCTCCTCACCCACGCGCTTAGCTCTCTGTGCCATCTGGGTGGGAAGCCAAGAGCTGCTCTGGGAGGAAGCCCACCCCCTGCGGCCCCACTTCCCGGCAGAACCCACCCTGCCGCCCCTCCTGTGCCCCAGAGCCACCCCAGCAGGCTGGCTTCCGCCCTCTGCCCCGTGACCACCGCTACCCATTGGTCCTTCTGACCCTGTGCACCCTTCCTGGACAGACCAGGACCCTGCTTGCCCGGGCCTGGCGGCCACGCCACAATGTGAACAGCCCACCCAAGACTGGCCCACCAGCGCTGGCCCCTGCCCTCCCCCTCCCTGGGTGGCGGCCGCTGTTGCTGGACAACTGCAGTCGGGACCCTGCAGCGACACCCTTCACGCTTTTAAAGGTGGGATGCCCCCATTTAAAAGGGGGCTATTGAGCTGTCTAAAGGGTCTAATGGCAAACTAACAACTCAAAACCACATCAAGGGGGCCTCCCTGGTGGCGCAGCAGTTGAACGCTGGGCTGCGGAGCTGCCTGTGGCCTCTGCTGCACCCGTTTGATCCCCGGCCGCTGGCGAGGGTCCCACATGGCGCGCAGACCTCTCCCGCCACGCCCGCTGCTCCCCTCAGCAGTGCCCTCCGTCTGTCTGCCTGTTCTGTTCCCCACTCTGGCGAATCCTCTCACCCTCCCGCGCTTCTG